AATTTCAGTCCAAAGTATTTTTTTCAAATCATAAATTGGCCATCTGATCAGAATGTTTCTTATAATTTAAAATATTTCAATTTCTTTCCTTTTAATCTACTTACTTAAAAGTAGATATTAAATTCTAAATACATAATATACTTTATTATGAATCAATAATAAAGTGTGTTCTTTAACGGAACATATTAGGCAATACTTTTATGCACGGATGGTTGATGTAAAATAGTGCAAAAGTTGAATACTATGTATCTTGGTGTTTTGTTATATAATACACTTGTAGATTACACCAGGTATAAGATAGATATGTGTTTTCATGCAATTTTGAAGCTGACCAAACTAATCAAAATCTGATATGTCTGATATCATGTCTAACATTAATATTTAAAGAGCCGAGAGAGGTGTTTCCGTCAAAATCAGATCTACAGATAAATAAGCCTTAAAGAGCTATTCTTTTCAGATCGGCAACCGAGTTGGCTTAGGTAGTGTAAAATTCGGAAGAAACAAAAGTAAAAGAAAACAATAATAACATGACTACCAAAATAATAAAATTAAATGGTGATAAAATTAAATAAAGCAATCAAACAAGATAAAATATAGAAAATAAAACAATAAAAAAAGAAGAAACCTAGGCACCCTTTCGTAGATTTTTCTAAAATTTGATATCTTTTATTTTTTGGGGGCCAATTTTGATTAAAAAAAATCGGTTTAACAAATCTTGTAATTCTCACTCGAACCTGCGTATTGTGGGTGATTTATTTTCCTATGCTCAGGATTTTGGATTTGTAAGGATATTTAGCTTACTAAAATAGGATATCCTGAATCTTTTGCATATTCTGAGAATGTTTAGGGTTGGACTATGGTAAGGTTGACTGTAGTTCAGTGTGTCCTATATTGTATTTGAATAGTGTGATCCAGGGTATGTGTATTCATAGATAAGATTAAATTTGAAAAGATGTCTACATTATGGTGGCAATAAATCTTGAGTTTCATAATGACATGAATGGTAGTAGTTAGTGGTTCAAAACTTTAATCGTAGAGCAGATCGTTCACCAAAAATAACATTGGGGATTGCTAATTTTGATCATTATTTTTATTTCTATATTTAACATTTTTTTACTTTAATAAAATGTGATGAAGATAGCAATCTCACTAAGTTGTAGTTTAAATTTTAGTGTATGGGGCATATAAACTTGTCATTCCTTTGGTGAGCTTTTGACTTTTAATTTGGAATCATATACTTTTGATATGATAGGTTTTGGAATAACATGCTTTTATTGTGATAAGTTTTTATTTTTTCTTTTTTTTTTTGTTGAAGTCTTACTCATTTCTCTATATAACTTGAAGCTATTTTGTGAGACTAACATTCAAAAACTAAAAATTGAAGATAAGTTTGTTTAGCGAGAAAAACTGGTGATTATATTAAACCACATAATATGTTTGGGTATTGGAGGAGACTAAAGAAGTATATCTCACTTTCTTTCATAACTTTATAACTAAGTGGCCAAAGAATAGATCTTCACGGGTTTGGAGTAGGATGAGTGATATATTTTGTTTTGATAAAATGAATTTCATTATTTAGTCATCTTGCACGTCTATTTATTAATAAAATAAAAATAGCAATTATATTAATAAAAGAGAAGAGTTTATATAGAGCCCAGGCTCTACACAATCAAATTTGAGCTCACCTCAAATTTGATGCTCGAATATCATCAACTTGATTATCTCGACGTCAAGATGCATGTACATGAGAAAAAAAATGGATTTCAAGTTTTGAAAATAATGCATCTTGTCATGCATTTTTTGGACCATCAATTTTCAATATTTTCAAGTGTTCATAGATCTACTCGATCTATATTATTTTTTGAAAGGTGGGCTCTAATTGGATTGTTTAGAGCCTTGGCTCTATACAAACTATACCCTTAATAAAATATTTATTTATGATTAATGATTAATAGTTTTATAGAAAAAATGCAATCATGAATTTTATTTCTTCTACTTTAAATTTTTTGTGATCCATGACTAATGATAATTATTTTTTAAGCAGATAAAAACAATATACATTTTTTTGGCCAGTTTAGCAGCAGACGTTCTAAATAAAAAAAATCCTAAATTTACGTAAAAATTTCAAAAAAACAAATCCTAAAATTTTCTTGAACATATATAAAAATAAGAACATGGCACAATCGATAACTCAAAACACGTGCAAAGCACGTACTCTTTGCTAGTACTTTAGAATGTTGAACTTATGTCTAACACTTTAGAAAGTTAAAAAATTGTAGTAATATTACTTCCGATGGCCCAAGAAAGAGATCTCAAACTCCATTCTTACACACAGTAAGGGCCCCAATCCCCAGTGAATTCATCATCATCGTCGTTTCTTTTCTCAAGTAAATGGGATTGGCTTGTACGTCTAGGATTCATGATAAGTTTTTGACAAATTTTTACGTTACCAAACGCCTTTACCTGGGTATGGGACAAGCTAAGGTAAAATTTACGATCCTCACCGTTCTTAAAAAAATTTATGTCTAACACTTAAGAAAGTTAAAAGGTCAAGAGAAAGAGTTCTCGAACCCACTAAAATACCCCAAAAACAAAAAACTTTCCAAAGTTAAAGACTTTTTCTTGTCCCATGTTTTTGAACTCTCTGTAGAAATTCCTAGGATTTTTTTGAATTGTGCACACAAATATATCATGTCACAAAGGCCAATTTTGAGAGGTATTTCTAATACTGGTGTCTACTTCATGATCTAACACACATCAGTGACAGCACTCTCCCCCCTTTCTCATAGACAATAACATTTTTTTCATAGCCAAGGAAAGCTAGCCAACGTAAACTGCCAATAGAAGTGGCCGAAATTACTCATCAGTGACCGATTACTAGACAGTTCATGTCAAACAAGTTCATGTCAAACAAGTTAATGCGTGGGGACTGCTACTAATTGACCAAGTTTGAAGCTACCAAGAAACCAATCTAAACCCATCAAGCAAACTATCACTAAAAATTCCATCAGCTCAAATCTAAACCCATCAAGCAAACCATAATAACCACTATGAATTCAAAGACAAGGTAAACTACTTAATTTGACTATAATTTCTGTATTCAGATCAAGCAAACCACAATAACCACTAAAAAATCCCTCACCCCTTTTGTTTGGGGTGAACAAGGTAAAACTACTCAATTTAACAATGACTTGTGTGTTTATCAGGTGTTCATTCTCAGTTATTCTCGGTATGACAATAACTTCTGAGAAAACAGGTGTTCATTTCTCAGGTGTTCTTGCTATGACAATAACTTCTTTGTTTCTCACCTGTTCTCGGTATGTTAATAAGGCTGAAGAATCAGATTTGATAGGCTTTGGTGTAAAAGAGAAGTGAAGTTCAATTCTTACTGAAAATATAAGAGAAAATCAAACACACCAAACTAACTATATCAGAATAGCTATATCCAGGAACCAAGTAATCTCGTTCTCTCCAAAAAATATATATTATAAACTTCTTTTTCTATAGTTAACAAAGTTCTCAAACACAAAGAATTGTGTAATCGAAGGTTGAAGACCGATTAAAGCCTTTTCTCCAACTAATGCCTCAGTAATGCTCACATATCCACATCAATAAAATTTCAATGATATGTAGTAACAATTCTGTTAAGTGATTCATCGTGGCTTGCTGATTTCTAGCTACACCACATAGTTTGATGATAAATGTGATATTCTTTAGCTTTGGAAGCATTTTCCATGGACTAGAGGTCTCTTGATTAGAATGTTTCTTCTCGAAATCCATTACATCATCACTATCAGGAGTCTAGATCCATTACATCATCACTATCAGGAGTCTAGATCCATTACATCATCACTATCAGGAGTCTAGATTCAACTAAATCAAATGGATTAAGAGTCTCTATTACATCATCACTACCAGAAGTTTAGATTCAACTAAATCAAATAGATTAGGAGTCCCTTGATTAGAATGTTTCTTCTCTTCTCGGAGTCCATTATCATTAGGACCAGGAGAATGTTTATTCTCGGAGTCCATTACATCAAAAGGATGTTTCTTCTGCAACATACTTCTGCAACATAAAACCTAATCAAGAAGAACAAAGTTATATTTCCTTTAAAATATACTTCAAACCTTATCACTAATAATATTCCAACAACAAAATAATGGAAGGGAAAGAAAAAGAGAAAAGAATGGAAGGAAAGAAAAAAACGAAATGTTTATTCTGAAACATAAAACCTAATCAAGAAGAACAAGGTCATATTTCCTTTAAAATATACTTCAAAATAAGGATTTTTCTGAGGATGTTCCAAACTTTTAACCTTTAAAATATACTTCAAAATAAAGATTTTTCCAAGGCTTCATAATGTTCCAAACAAGAAAAGAATGATCAAATGGACTAGGAGTCTCTTTATTAGAATGTTTATTCTCGGAGTCCATTACATCAGAAGGATGTTTCTTCTGCAACATAAAACCTAATCAAGAAGAACAAAGTTATATTTCCCTTAATATATACTTCAAAACCTTATCACTAATAATGTTACAGCAAGAAAATAATGGAAGGGAAGGAAAAAGGGAAAAGAAAGGAAGGAAAGGAAAAAACAAAATGTTTCTTCTGCAACCTAAAACCTAATCAAGAAGAACAAGGTCATATTTCCTTTAAAATATACTTCAAAATAAAGGTTTTTTCAAGGCTTGATAATGTTCCAAGGAAAAAAGAAAAGAATGGAAGGAAGGAAAAAACGAAATGTTTCTTCTCCGAGAAGAACAAGTTTATATTTCCCTTAAAATATACTTTAAAATAAAGATTTTTTCAAGGCTAAACACTAGAAAAAAACACTTATCACCAACCAAACAAGAAAAGAAGGGAAGGGAAGGAAAAAAAAAATGAATGGGAAGAAAAAAAATAACACACAAAAAGGAAAAAAAAAAGAAGAAAAATAACTATTTTGAGGGGCAAATAAAGAAAAAAGACCCCAAAAAAAAAAAAAAAAAAGTTGAACTTCCCCAGTAGCCATGGTAGCAGTAAATTTCGACAAAAAAATAACTCAAAACCATACAGAGTATACTTATATAAGTAAGTGCTGAGGTTTATGCACATGGTTTGATAGTTTGCTATGATTTTCTTCAGCGTAGAAGCATTTTCCAATATTTGGATTTTACGAAATTAAATAGATCAGGAGTCTTCTAATTAGAAGTTTAGTTTTTTTCTTGGACGCAAAATCTAACAAAGAAAACAAGGTTATATTTCCCTGTCAATGAAGTGTAAAAGAAGATTTTGCCAAGGCTCTAGACAAGGAGAGCCATGGCTAGGCTAAGGCTGAGGCTTTCAAAAGATTCCATGTCAATTGGGTTCTAGCCCATAGCTTACTGGCATGAACCCATTTAAGTCAAATCTCATGACTTAGTTCAAAACATGCTTAAGCTTACCCTTCTCCAAAAAAAAAGGAAAGCAAAAAATAGTAAAGAAAAGAAGCCACTGAAAAGCTAATAAAGAAGAAAGCACCACTGATATTTCCACCCCTTTTCTTAACACACAATAAATACATATGAGGGTTGGAGAATTCTATGGGATTTTCTGTATTCAAATCTTAAAAGCCTCTACTTCATGGAGGCAATGTCATATGAGAATGGGTGTCAGAGTAAAGAAATATCAATAATTCAACCACCTAAGCATGGCCTGTCCAAACAGAATGAACCACTCATCTCTCTTCTGTGTATGGCAGCTGGATCAGAGAATATTGTGCAAATACAATAAGACTATTTGAACTGCAATAACACATGGCAATATTAAATAAAGCCTCAACTGTAAGAAATTAAGAATGTAGATATGGATACCAGAAAACCAATGCCAGCAAAGTGGGTCATGTAAATCCAGCAAATGTTTTAAAATTCAGAATGTACAAAAAAGAAAATCAATTCTGGTACAGTGGGTCATGCCAAATCCAGGGAAGAGAGCATATTTCAGGTATTTGAGGCCAAGTGAGCATGGGAAAAGTTCTTCTTTTTTTTCTTTTTTCTTTTTTTTCTTTTTTCTTTTCTATTTTCTCACTCTAGGAAAAAAACAATTCATAGAGTTCTATTTTCTCACTCTAGGAGACCAACCAACAATTCAGATTTCATCCATACAGAGTTTTATTTCTCTCTCTACTATGACACAAATAAGTCCTTCACGCCAACATAAATTACACAGAAAAACAAGGAAAAGAAAAAAGCAGCCATTTTTTCCGCTATATAACAACAAAAACCACAATTCAATAGAACAAGGAAGAATATAACAACAAATGCCCAATAAACAAGAAGCCAAATAAACAAGAAGAAAATTACAGGGAATTAGCCTTTTAGAAAGACAAAAAATGATGAGAAGCAATCCTCTGAACACCTAGACTTTTATTTTCTCACTCTTAGAACACCCAAACAATCCATACATACAATCATTCCAACCTCAACTAAAAAATAAAACCAAAAAAATTTCAAAAAAACCAAACATTATTTTGCAATATAACAACAAATCCCAAAAAAAAACCCAAAAAATACAGAGAAAATTAAACTTACAGAGCGGGCACGATCCATACACCCAGAGAGAGAGAGCGCGAGACACAAGAATATGGTGATAACAACAAACCAAACCCTCCTTTCTCTCTAATCAAACCTAAGAGATACAGAGAGAAACAAATAACGACCACCCAAAAGCCTAAAACCACCCAACCCCCTTCTCTACCCCGCCACAACCGGAAAACGGCCTAAACCTGCCGGAAAAACCCCAAACGAAATCAACGGTGATCGTCGTCCCGGCGGCCAGAAGCCGACGGCTCAGATGACAGGGCAGCAAGTAAATTTAAATGCCCCTGCCCCACTAAAGGCTGACCTATGGGCAAATAATTGCCCAAGCGATTGGCCGAAATTTCAGGCGGCCCAAAGCTCCAAACTTGCCCAGATTCCGGCCGCGAGGGCAAGGCCCAGAAGGCGGCGCCACCCGCCGAGGGTGCAACAGGGGCATTTTGGTCTTTTGTGTCGTCGAGCCTCAGTCTCTTGCCCAATAAGAAAGGGGTATTTTGGTCCTTGAACGCGGGGGTAGCCTGGGAATTGTGGTCCTTGAAAGAGACATTTATGTCCTTGGGGGCAGTGGCGGAGGCGGCGGAGGAGAAGTTTGCAGGAGTCGTCCCTGAGCCGGTGGCCGCGATTATGGACGGCTCGGCTTGGCGGAGAAGCCACTCAATCGTCTGGCCGTCCGATTTGTGGCCGAGCTCTCGGGTTAGCTGGAACACACGGGCAGCGCATATTATCGGCATGCGAATGCGGCGGCCCCGTCCGTCCACTTTGGAGTGGCGATCCTTGGACGGGGCCTTCTTTACAGAGAGAACATTTGATGATGCGCCCCCCTGGTTTTGATGGTGATGATGCTGCGCCCCTTGGCTTTGATGGTGATGGTGCTGCCTCTGTTGCTGTTGTTGGTCGGAGGAGGAGAGGGAGCCGTTGCCCGCGCCGTCCGCAGACATGGCTGGCCGCAGCTGATTTCCTCCCTCTACGATATTTCTCTAAGTTCTCTATCTAGACTGCTTCTCTCCTTTGGTGGTTCTTGGTGGCTTTCTCTCTCTACAGTTTCTCTCTCCAGTCTCTCCACACTGCTGCTGATTTTCTCTGGCTACAATTATCGTCACTCTACACTGCTTCTCTCTTTTGGTGGGGTGGTGGTGGTGGTGGCCTTTGGATTGATGGGTTGGGGATTGGGGTCGCCTCTTTATTCTCTCTTCTCCGCACCCCTTTGCTTGATATCTTACTGTCTCTTGGGGTTTCAGTGTATTCCTCTCTCCTCTCTCCTCTCCTGTGTTTGATCTCACTTCTGGGGTTTCAGTGTATTCCTCTCTCCTCTCTCCTCTCCTGTGTTTGATCTCACTTCTGGGGTTTCAGTGTATTCCTCTCTCCTCTCTCCTCTCCTGTGTTTGATCTCACTTCTGGGGTTTCAGTATGTTTCGCTCATGTGGGTCTCTGTTTTTCTCTCTTTTCCTGTGGGTTTCACACTACGTTGGGTGCTTCCTATTCTGTCTTGGTTCTCTCTCCTATTGAGCCTGAGATTTCTCTCTCTCTTGCTCTGATCTGTGGGGTTTACTCTCTCCAGTTGTTGGGGTCGGGCTCTCTCTTGTGGGGTTCCAGTTGTTGAGGTGGGTTCTCTCTCCTACTGGATTTCAATTAATCACTCTCCATCCTCTCCAACCTCTGTTTCAAGCTTTGTGGTCTTCACTCTCTCTCTCTCTCTCAGGATAACTCCCACTAAGCTATCTCCAATTTCTCTCTCTAAATGTGTAGTTCACATCTCGCGCTCTTTTCCGGGTTTCCATCCTCTCGTTAGGGTTTCTCTTTCTCTCTCTCTCTCTCTAAGACCTAACTCGTTATCTTTTTCTTTTTACTTTCTCTCTCTAACTTTCTCCCTCTAAGGAAGGGAGGCTAATCATTGAGCGCGCTTGGCGGGTGGAGACCGTGGCAAGGCCACGTGGGCCTCATGGGACCGTGCGCTTCAGGCCAAGGCAACGCTGCGTGGGTTGCTTCCAGATAAAGCCACTCTCTCTCTCTTTAAATCCCAATCTCACCCTCTAAAAATCCATTTCTCTCTCTTCTTTTCATCTCTAAAACCCATTTCTCTCTCTCTCTCTCTCTCTAAAAGTCGATATTCAGCACGTGTCGGCTCGACGCAGCTCCTGCGAAACCCTAGCTTCAACCGTAAGATGATTTGGACGGCTGAGATCAAGGGGAGGCGAAGGTCATTTGAGATATCGGGACCGTATGATTACAATAGTGCGCGTGTTGATATCTCGGAATATCATGAGCGTTTAGTTTGCATGCCCTCGCAAGATCATACTGTGTATTATTACCTTCTTCAGGCAAACGAGCTTCCGGGGAATGTTTTTTATTTTGAGATCAAGCTAATACTCAAGGAAAATTGTTTCACGCGGGCTGGATCGCATTTCTACATGTGCAGTCCAGAAAATGTAAAGCATCCATCTTTTTTTTAGATGGACGCAAATAGGGTGTTTCATTTAAAAACAAAAACAATGGAAGATAACCCGTCCAAATGTTTTCTTACTAAAATTATTATTTTTAGTTTTTAAATATTTTTTTTTCCGTATTCATGATCTCCACGGTATTATGCGTTTTTAAAAATTAAGTCTTAAAATCCATCCCAAAAATAGATTTATTAAGAGGCCCGGATTTGTATATATGCCCGCTTCGCCACATAGAAACCGGGTCCAATACTTAAAAGGCACGGTTTCTATACTTCCAACCCGCATATAGTAGAGGGCACGGTTTCTATACTTCCAGCCCGCATACAGTAGAGGGCACGGTTTCTATACTTCCAGCCCGCATACAGTAGAGGGCACGGTTTCTATACTTCCAGCCCACATACAATAGAGGGCACGGTTTCTATACTTCCAGCTCGCATACAGTAGAAATGCAGGCTGGGCAATAAATACATTTTTTTAATATAATTTTATAATTTGATCCTAATTTTTAGATAATATAATGTTTTTACTCTTCATGAATATGAAAAACTAAAACAAATTTAAGAATTAAAAATAGTAATTATATTAAAAAAACATTTGGACAATTATTACAATTGTTTTTAGTTAGACCACTTATTTGCATCCATCTTTAAGATAAATGCTTTATACCTCTTGGACTACATGTTGTAGAAATACGGTCCAACCCGCATGAAACAATTTTCCATACTTAAAGGATCAAGATTTTTTTTAAAAAAAAAAAGATTGTTTTTTATTTCTTAAACGCTTAGATATAGAAATTTGGATTACATCAATCCACGTTCAATTTTGGGACTTGTTCTGACACATGGAGTGTATAATCTGTTTGTCTTTTTATTTTATTTATTTTTCATAAGGGTGACATTTTTTCTTTTTTTTTCATAAGGGTGACGGTTAGATGTTATGACCCGAAAGGGTGGTGGCTAGAAATTACGTACTGAAAATTTAGGATCCTCAAAATATTCTAGCCTGGTTTTATAGAAGACAATGAGCGAAACTTGGCCAGCCAGCGTTGACCCCGAGCCAAACTGGACCGAAGGGGCCTGGCCCAACCCCAGGTCCTGACCTAGATTTGGTCATGCCAAGAAAAAAGGTTGGGCTAGGACAGCCCGTTCTGGCCCTAGGGCCAGCCCTGTAGCCCCAGCCTACCGGCCCTCAGATTGTGGTGGCCTCCACGTTTGGCAGCCCATGTCTCCAGGGCTGGCTGGCCCGACCCAATGCCAACCCTATACTAAGTGAGCAAGTGCTCCTGCAATGCTATAAATCATTTCACATATATGAATGGCTCATTGATCCAGCATTGTGAATCTATGAAAAGGGAGAGCATGTAGTATTGAATATTCTTAGTTAGTGCTATCTTAAAACATATTAAAAGTTTGGATAATGATAAGATGCTCTTTGTTTGGACTATACTATATATATAGAAAGGGATGGACTCAAGCTCTCTTTCTCTCTCTATAAACCCCATGTTTCTCTCTCTTCCCTCTATGTCGTTCTCACTCTCTCTGCGCTTGATTTGGAAAACCCATCTGAGTTGTGGCGCCGGGGCCATGCTAAATAGAGAGGATGCAGGGGTGGAGACTCTATCTTTACCATTTATTTTGGAAAACTGGCATCGTGGTCAGTTGTCCATGAGTTTGCATCCCTAAAAAAATAAGTTTTCCAAAGTACTGAAAATTTTCAGATAAAATATCAAATAAATCTCCAAATCTATGTTAAAGATGGAATTTTTTTATTTTGTATTTTATAAAAGGAAAATATTTTTATAGGGCTAAGGAAAGTCTCACTTTAAAACTCATCCAAAATTACAATTTTAGAATCATAAAACCTTCAAATGGATCAACTCAGCCTTGACCATTAGGGTTGTGAAAATTTTAAGATTTCAAGCTTTGAAAATAGTGTATATTAAAGATATTATCTAAATCATCCATTTCACCCTAAAAATAAGTATTTACGGATCTACAAGATATGTATTGTTTTTTATCTTCACGTTTTATAATCACTATTGGAACTTAATTTTAAAGCTATCATAAATATTTTCAATGCCCAAAGTGCTTATTGGATGAGGATTCTAGATGACGTTTTATTTTATTTTCGTAAGGACTAAGACCCTATAGAAACTGCATCCTTCATGTAAAAGTCTATTTTTCCTTCACTTTTTATTCTCAAACTACTCATAATTGACATACCCACTATTTTTCCTTCATTTTTTATTCTCAAACTACTCATAATTGACATACCCAATGTCTAACATGGTCCCTCACTCTTAAAATTCGAGTGAAGTCAAATGCCCAATCTCTTAATCATTTTTCAATTTACATAAAAATAAAAATGAGTGAGCTCGGACACTCAATGTTTGAATCCATCTCCTCCTTGTGAAATATCTTAAGAGAATGGGTTGGACATCAAATATCCGAATCCATCTCCCACTTATAAAAGTTTTTAGTAGATTATTAGCAAAAATAAAATAAAAAAAGAGTATATTTAAACACCCAAAATCCAAAGTTATCTCATACTACTTGCATAAATAATTTTTTTTTTAAAAATAATGAGTTTAGAATAAATCCAACTCCCATGTACCCAAAAAAACACAAAAAATGAGTTTGAAAAGCCAATATCCAAACATGTGCGCACTTTGTTTTATTAGCCCATTTTTACGTCTATTTTTTTATGTTTTTGGAAGGGAAAGTATGGAATGAGACTATTTACCTTTGATACGAGGTAATCATATTAATCCTGACTATTAGATGTGAAATCGGGTGGCTGTCATTATTCCATTGGTCAAACTCAAATTTTAAAAGAAATTTTATTGAACTTTGTGACACATCCAAACTATCAAATTTCACATCAAATGGTTATAAAGAATTGCAACCACCGTGTATCAAAGATAAATGGTCGCATTGTATACAATCCCTTTTTAGAATCATATATATTATCTTGTTTTGAAATTAATCTAAAAAAATAAGATAATAATTTTTAATTAAAAATAAAAAATAGAACAAGTGAGAACCAGTTTGACAGAATAGCCTAGATCCCGGAGTGAGTCGCCTTGATCTCTCACAAAACCAAAAAAGTCACTTGATTTTGGCAAATTCTCAACTTCGAACAATAGTAGGCCAAATACCCACCAATTCTTATCCAAAATGATGAGCAATTTTTAAAGGACGTGGTTTCTATAAGGTTTCAACTTTAAACAATCTAATTAAGGTACACCTCCAAATTTTATCATAACATGTAATTTTGGTGTAAAATTTTTTTAGGATAATCTGAAAATCTATTTTCATATCCGATTATAATTTTGTTAACTCCTAAAATGGTTAAAATCAAGTATATTTATAAACATATGAAAATTATAAAAATTAATGGTCTAGATAAATTGTTGCAAGATGTACTATTTTTTAGGCAAAAAATCTTTTTTTTTTTTTCTCATATTTATACATCTCGATGTTGAGATGATCAATTAAAGGGTTTTTCAACATTAAAATAGCCTTTTCCGATAGATTTTGAAGTGCAACTTTAATTCTACATTTTAAAGTTGCAATCTTTTGTAAACTTTTTGATTTACTATATATCAATAATGACTTCTTGATTTACTGCATATCATGTGACCCCTGTTCCTAAACTATATGTATGCTATATCCATAATGCATATAAAGGATTCAAGGGTACTCTCTCTCTCTCTCTCTCTCTATTTAACAGTAGTAGACTACCAAGATGGCAGAAAAGGAGAGGTAGGTGGTTGGTGGAACCGCATCCACTCAGGATTCAAAGCATGTGTGCATACACATAGAGAGTGTGTGAAATATAGAGAGAGAGAGAGAAATATACAGTGAGAGAATTTAGGCCATAAAGAGATAAAGAAATAGACAGAGAGAGAATGAATTTGAAGCCACCATTGTCACCCTCTGGTTGTCATGTGTGCATACATACAGAGAGAGTGAAATATATATATAGAGAGAGAGAGAATTTGAAGCCAAAGAGAGATAGTGAAATATACAGAGAGAGAGAGAGAGTGAAATATATATATATAAAGAGAGGGAGAGAATTTGAAGCCAAAGAGAGATAGTGAAATATACAGAGAGAGAGAGAGAGTGAAATATATATATATAGAGAGAGAGAGATTAAAATTAGCATTTTGAATATGAAAAAGAAATATCCTTAGTTAAAAAATAAAAAAAAAAGAGAGAGAAAAGGCCCAAGTTCGTGATGGATATGGAACTTACAGCAGCCAGTAAGATGGATAATTGTTTTTGATATTTTATGGGTTGTTGTATATTAATAATTATTGTCAACTTTATAATTTATAAAAAATTAATTATGTGGAAATACTTAACATGTGTATTACTTGAATTCATACTTACTAATCTAGGTTTAAACTAAATTTAAAATAAATAGTGTACTAATTTAATATATGAAAGTGCCAGTAATCATTTAATAAATCCCAGTAAAGAGATAATCACAATAATATTTCACTAATGATAATTATCATTAAAATTTGAAGTGAGCCAAGTCATATCTAGAGTAAGGGATATAAGTAATTATGTACACCTATGGCTCATTTCCCTTGCTAAAGCAAGGGGAATATATCATTTTAAGAAAATGGGAAGTTAATGTAAATGTCTCTTACTATTTGTGGTATTTGAATAAGAGTAATGATCCTATGAGACCCTCCCACACCCATGTGTGTAGGATTCCAAAAGATCACTATTAAATTTAGCACAGATCTCTAAAAAAGTTATCACATGGGTGTGGGACTTAACTTTTATAAAGATCTGTGTCAAATTTAATGTTGATCACTTAAGGTCCTACACACATGGGTGTGGGAGAGTCTCGTAGGATCATTACTCTTTGAATAATGTCTCTAAGTTTTTATATCGGATGCCGTGGCCCTTT